AATGATGAAAGCACCAAATTTGGCACAGCAATGGAGTAATGGTATATGAATATTTTCAGATATGGAACCACTCGATACTGAATTTGAGTGGCCGCTATAAATCAGGGGCGGATCCAGGAAAAAAATTCAGGTTTCACCACGTTACTGTCTTAGTCCTGTGAGACCGTCTAATACTGCGAAGCATAGGGAAATAATAGGCTATAGGAAGAAAGAAAAGGGGGTTCAGAGGCATTCGATGAACCCATAATACGTCAACTGGCTGAATTTGAATCTGAAATCTGAATTTGAAAGCTGAGCAAACCAAGGCTAACTTCCACCATCATGAGCAAACCAACACGACGCAGGACAAGTTTCTTCAGGATGTGAAAGCACTTACACTTGTCATGGAAGAAATGGGAAGAAATTGCTGACATAATGGCTCTTCATACAAAGGAAATCTTGTGTCCAGAAGCCGTGAAGAGTGTACAAAATGTTGTCAAGCTTGCACGAGAACAATTCCATTCATATGTAAGAGAACGCCTTGAAGACAAGTCTAAGCCTATTGGTGACACTATTAAGCTCTACAAGCTAACACTATTCAGTTCTATGAAATCCAAGTCTCCAACTAGGAGTAAGCAGCAACTAGCCTTCGCAAAAGACGACTGTGGACTATTCTCCAGGCTCTACATAGCCTGTCAAACAAGAGAGGGTGATTTGGAAGTTTTCTTCAAGCATGAAAACCGGGCCTATCCACCAGCACTCTCCAGTAATGGGAAACTCCGCTTCAGCAAGAAGGCCGACTTACTCACACCCCTTGAACAGCTTGCTGACAAGATCACTGACGCTCCACATGTCACCTCAATTATACTCGATGAACCTGCCGTTGTGGAAATGTTGAAGCCAGGAGGCAGTAGGACATTTCAAGAATACAGCACAGCTGTATTCATTCCCTATATTGAATCACAGCTCGAATATCGATCTCGACTTGATCTGGTATGGGATTGCTACCTGAAATCTGGGAGTCTAAAAGCAACAGTAAGATGTAACCGTGGCAAGGGCATTCGAAGACGCGTCACTGTCTCTGGTCCTCTATCTAGCAACTGGCAAAACTTTCTCCGCAACAGTGACAACAAAGAGGAACTCTTCAGTTTCCAGTCAGAACAGGTTGTGCAGTTGGTTATTAAGGAAAGTAAACAGCTGGTTGTCACAGACAAGAAACAGGTACTCACTGTTCCACCCCGGAAGGACACTGCCAACTTGGCACCATGCAACCACGAAGAGGCCGACACTAGGATGATGGTTCATGCGGCTGATGCCTTGGAATGTGGTCATCGGCGAGTACTCATTCGCAACGTCGATACAGTTGTTGTCATCCTTGCAATTACTCTAGCGAATGAACGGAGTGAGGTCCTAGATGAACTATGGCTTACTTTTGGCACAGGAAAGAATCGACGTTACAGAGCAGCACATCAGATTGCAAAGGCCCTGGGACCTGAGAAGTCGAGAGCTCTTCCAGTGTTTCACGCAATAGCGGACTGCGACACGGTATCTGCCTGGGCCACATGGAATGCATTTCCGGAAGTGACAACCGCCTTCCTCAGTCTTGCTTCCACCCCAAGTGAGCTGCCTGATGGTGTCCTGTCGACATTGGAGAGATTCATCGTGCTGCTCTATGACCGTACGAGCACATGCTGTGACGTGAACATGCTGAGAAAGAAACTGTTTTCAAGAAAATCAAGATCACTGGAGGATCTCCCACCAACACGAGCAGCTCTGGAGCAGCACATAAAGAGAGCTGCTTATCAGGCTGAACATATCTGGGGACAGGCCTCAATAGCGTTTGTCAGTCTGCCATCACCATGTGACTGGGGTTGGATGAAGTCGGGTGATGAGCTGGAACCACACTGGACCACACTCTCTGAAGTGTCAAAGTCATGCCACGAGCCCATCTCTTGCGGTTGCAGAAAACACTGCGGTGGCAAGTGTAGGTGCAAAAAATCTGCACTTAAATGCACTGGACTTTGTGCATGTTAAGGTGGCTGTTAAGGCCCAATATCTACAGAAATTCGGCCCCAATAGCCGAATGTTCAGAATTTTTTTTTAAGTTTTGGGAGTTCGGAAAATATGTATGTTAATTTTCCATTGTAATGCTTTTACTTGTCTTTTTCATTATAATAAACTTCGAAAACTATCACAAATGATTTTCGTAACCTGGATTATGTATATTGATGCATTGGAATGAAATATGCAACAGTAAAAACAGAAATACATAGTTTAGCATATCCTGAACGGCGGCCATCTTGAAATTCAATATGGCGCCCACAGAGGTTGAGTTTCTAGTGGTTCCATATCTGAAAATATTCACCATGTATTACCCTATATCTGTGCCACAGTTAATGCTTTCATCATAAAATGCACAATTGTTTGGCTATGCCGCTGTACTATAAGGGAGAACATGAAAGAAGATTCAATGCTCCTGTAGTTGATGAAGTAGCCATCCTGAGTGTCGGTCAAGAGTTTGAGAAACGAGACATCATACTCAAAATGAGAGACGAGTCGCTCACAAGAAGAACATGATGCTACATGTACAGGATGATGCCACTGACAGGAAAAGCTAAAGGAGAGGACGTTTTTATACCAAGGATACCTCTCATCACCACTGACCTGACATTTGAGTTCAAGCGACTTCAGTTCCCGGTTAAAGTGAGCTTTGCCATGACCATCTACAAAAGCCAGGGACACTCCCTAAAGATGGTTGGCCTAAACCTGGTGTTTCCTTGCCTCTCTCATGGACAGTTCTATGTTGGATGCTCCAGAGTGGGAACTGGCAAAAATCTGTACATACATGCTGCTAATGGCAAAACCAAAACTGTGGTCTACCTTAATGCACTACAGTGAGACAATGTGGAGCCTCCCGGAAGGTGGCGTCCTACCGTGGACTAGCGAAAGAGCCGCCCAGAGGGCGGCCATTCCGCTAGTTTATATATATACATATATATATATATATATATATATATATATATATATATATATATATATATATATATATATATATATATATATATATATATATATATATATATATGCTACCGCCACAGTAGGATAAACTAAAAGGGAAAGAGAGAGAGAAGAGGGGTACAGGAGATAGACAGAGGGAGTGTTGACAACGAGCTTTGCTGAGGTGTTAAGTGTGAAACACATGGCCCTCGCTTCAGGCTGATTAGCTCGACTAGAGTAGCCGTCCAGTGAGCTATCAAGTCAGGAAGTTAATAAGTCCTACATTAGACCCGAAACACGTAAGTTATATATGGTTTAACACCCTACTCTACTCAAATATATCAAATGTAGTCGTTAATAGTGAATGAACATACGATTGAATTAATTATTTCATACGTAACATATGTAATTTGTACTCTGCAGGTTTTGACCGAATAAAGAACAATCGAGTCCTACGTGCAAGAGTCTCATTATCCCACAGTCGCTCATTGGGCGGTTACAGTCAAAACGTGGGTCCTACAGTCTGCCGATACAGTCTACTGAGAACTGGCAAGTGACTCGACCGTCGACGGACGGACCTTCAGTGGGAAGCCCTTCACTCCGGCACCCGACACACCCCGCAGCTACAGCAGGAGAGCATGGATGCCTTTGTGTGAATTTGTGAATCATCGCCTAAAGTGTGATGCCTATAATATAATAATAGTTGACCCCAGCGAAAAGGGGTTTGTGGGTTGAGTGTGTGTATAGCACTCATATGTTTATGGAGAGAAGCGTGACACCTCTGTACGTGGGTTGTGTCAAAGGACTGGTCTCGGTGCCAAAATTGTTCGTAGGAGAGCGCTGGAGTGTTATCGTTCATTCCGGACAGGCACGCCGCCTGCCGCGAGGACCGCTTGTCAGGAAAGAGTGGACTCTGTGTCAATAACATTCGTGCGTACACGCGGGAGAGATAGTGTTCAAAGCGTACAGCCACCGCCAATTGTAAATAAGATTTAAGAACGAGTGAGTTGCCCTTTCTATTAGAAAATAGCAGTTGTGACAATTAAGTAACGTTGTGAGTAAGGGCGCACTAGTGTTTGTGGCATCAGGTTTATGATCTTAGCAGCTGTGTAATGAATCCCTACACTGATTGTGGTGCCTCTGTTGTCGTGTTAGTGTCACATCGCTCGTGCTTATTGCATGCGTTTATATGACTTCAGTTGTATGACATCGCTTATATGACTTCAGTTGTATGACATCGCTTATATTACTTTAGTTGTATGACATCGCTTGGACGACTTCAGTTGTATGACATCGCTTATATGACTTCAGTTGTATGATATCACCTACATGTCTTCAGATTGTATGACATCGCTTGTATAATTTCAGTTGCATGGTATCGCTTGTAAGACCTCAGTTATATGACGTCGTTATAAACGAGCAGACGTGTCAGTTGAAGAGCATTTCCGCTTAACCGAACGTCTCTATAGCTGTCCACCGAAAGAGCCAAATCGAGTTCACTGTGTCACCAGTCATGGAAGGGAACAAGGCAGAGGAGATAAGCCTAGCGAGCGTAGAAGACCTGGAGGCCCTGAACGACGGAGATGCTAACTGCTCACTCACAAAGCCCGAGAGTAGGATAAAAATAACAGGCCGGTTAAATAGGGTAATCGGTGGTTTTCAGCAGACGCTCACCCAATTGACGGCAATGATGCAGAATATGAAAGATCATATGGAGCAACTGCAGACTTTAGGCGATACGGAGGACTTTGGTGAGATGCTGTTATTCCCAGGAGGAAAGCCTTTTCTGGAAACGAGTGAAGGGATGACAGCCGCAACGAGGTATGCACCAGACACACATTGTCAACCGCCGGAACCAGGAGTGTCTAGCTGCTACACCTCGACACCAACCCAAGGAGGGTTCCCAACACTCAGCGCTTCAGAGTCGGGAACATCTCATCAGGGGGAGAGGGAACATGTTTCCACCCGTCAAACCCACTTTCCGGAAGCAGTGACACCAACAGGAACCCAGGGGAAGGAAAACCATGTACAAGATATACAGCGAGAACGCCCAGGACGGATGGAAGGGGGGGCCATCGGACATGATGCTACCAACCCAGAGACTGGAAGAGTTAATGGCCACTATGAGGCTTCCCCAGAGGTCGATGCCAAGGTTCAGCGGAGGGACTTGTGACGAGTATTTGGAGTTTAGGCATGCCTTCCAAAGACACATTGGGGAGGCGCCCATATCCTATGCACTAAAATTGGAAACACTTCTCTCGGCCTACACTGGCCGCGCTAAGAAATCCCTAAGAGCATCCCTGCAAATAGAAGACCCCAGGGCTGGATACGAACAAGCTCTAGCCTTGCTAGAAGAGCGTTATGGCAACAAGCAAGCCTACGTCCAAGAACTAATAGGCAAGGTCCTACGTGGCCTAGCCATGAGAACAGATGACATTAAAGGACTTCAGGTGCTCGTGGACGATCTGGGAAACTGCGTAAATAACTTAAATGTACTGGGAAAACTGCACGAAATTGACACGTACGAATCACTGAATACTTTAGCTAAGAGATTCACGGGAAAGATGAGGGAGCGATACGAGGATAGAGCATATGACTATGAAAGGAGACACGGGAATTCTCCAGGGGTCGAGTGGATGAAGGGTTTTGTACTGGAGATGCTAGACAGGACAAGGAGGGATTCGAGGGGACAAAGACAAGAAGAGCCGAGCGGGAGACGAACAGGCTCACACCCATACCCTTCCTCACCAGGAAGGATACCTGTGGGCCTAGTGACTTCGGGAAGGGAGGAGGTTAGAGGAAGGGACGACCGCACTTGCCTGTTGTGCCCTGGATATCACCCTTTGCAGAGATACCAAGCATTCCTTAACATGTCGACTGGAGCGCGAACTTCACGAACTTCACGAACTTCACTTGTACATGAAGAACGTCGCTGTTTCGCCTACTTAAATCACGCTCACCGAATGGCCGAGTGCAGTCAGAAGACAAGGTGTGGCATAGATGGGAGCTATAGCTTCCACTCGAAAACTCCTGCACTTCTCGAGAAATTCTATGCGCAATAACACGCCAAACCAGGACGAACCATCAAGAAAGGAACTCTTAGCCAGTTTTCAAGGGATGAAAAGGGCTTCCACCATGGATGCACACCAGTCAGAAGTGTCGACCGACCACAAGCGGCAGAAGCTAGGTGACTGTCAACTCAAGGCCATCATGTCAGCACCAAAATCAACGACCAGTGGAGTTAGGCCATGCAAACCCGAATCCAGCTCAAGAGTTACGGAGAAAGGGGCTGGAAACAGGCAGGTTGCACTGGTGACCACGAGCCGAGAAAACCCGTATAAATGGGCCAGAGATACTTACGGTCGAGAAAATAACCAGTGCGAGGGGCCCGAAGATTACGACATATGACTAGCAGATCCAGGCAGAGTTGCACTCCCCATATTAAAGGTCAAGGTCGGGGAGATAAGGCGAAAGACGAATACAACAGTGATCACCGGAGCACGCTTGGACTCAGGCAGCAACAGGTCTTACTGCACCGAGAGCCTAGCTAACCGACTACGAATAACAGGGAAATCTGTTTCAATCTCCATAGGCACGATCCTGAAGGGGACGAAGAGCGTGAAGGCCAAAGAGATCGATCTGAAGGTGACTAGCGTCGGAATGAGAAGAAGTCGATCCATTAACATTCCCAGAATCCTCGTTATTAAAGACCTGCCTTCTTCACTCGAAGCATTGGTTGCGGACATCAGAGCTGTTGCCAAGTGGAGGCACCTCCAAGGAACCACGCCACTCCACGCACCGGAAAGAGTGGATCTCCTGATAGGGTTAGATGTACCACAAGCCCTAATACCGTTAGAAGTAAGGACCGGGGAGAACGGAGAGCCGTTCACGGTGTGTACACTTCTAGGATGGACCATAAATGGACCGATTGGTCCTGCAATAAGTGACCACCTAGCAATCAACCACCTCATCTCAGAAAAGCCGCTGAGACTGGAGACGCGTTTAGAGAAACAGGTCAGACACTTCTGGGAATGTGACTCAGCCTACTGCAATGAAAACCCCACCTCTGTTGAAGACAGAAGAGTGCTGGTGCTGTGGTCAACTTCAGTGACGAGGGTGGACGGGCACTATCAACTTCCCATGCCGTTCCGTCATGAAGAGCCGGGACTCCCGAGTAACAGAAAACTGGCTGAGCAACGGTTAGCGAGCTTGAAGAAACGTCTCCTGGAAGACCCCAGACCTCCGTCAAAGATATCGAGAAGAGATGCAAAACCTGATCAACAAGGGACATGCTGAGAGAGTCCCACACCGTGAGCTTACCATTGTGCCGGGGAAAACCTGGTATCTCCCACATCACCCAGTATTGAACCAAAATAACCTGGGAAGTTGAGAATAGTCTTTGACTATGCAGCAATGTATGAGTCAGTGTCCCTGAACAGCCAAGTGATGCAAGGCCAGACCTCAATAATAAATTGGTGGGAGTCCTGCTTAGGTTCTGTCAAGAAAGGGTGGCACTCATGGCTGATATCGAGGATATGTTCCACCAGGTACGAGTACTGCCTGAACATCGAGACGCCCTGCGCTTCCTGTGGTGGAGAGACGACCAACTATCGGGAGACCCGGTCACTTACCGGATGAAGGTACATCTCTTTGGCGGAGTGTGGAGCCCATCATGTGCTGGATATGCATTACGATGAACATTCCAAGACCACGGGCAAAAGCTCCATGAAGAAATTAAGAAAGCAAGTCACAACTTCTATGTCGATGATCTGCTTCTTTTAGTAGCATCACCAGGGAAGGCGGCGATAGTCACTCACCAATTGAGGCAGTTGATGAAGAAAGGCGGGTTCAGACTTACAAAATGGATATGCTACCACAAAGGGGTCCTCAGAGCAGTCCCACAAACGGAAAGAGCCATGGAAGTGAAATAAGTACTTTTGAAGGATGACAGGCTCCCAGCTGAGTGGGCATTGGGAATCATGTGGGATCTAGAGAATGACGAACTTGCAGTCCGAATCCAGATCCCAACGAAGCCACAAACGAAGCGAGGTCTCCTGAGTATGGTCAGCTCCATATACGACCCATTAGGAATCATTGCTCCGAGCACCATACGAGCCAAAATCATATTCCAGGACGAGTGCAGGCGGGGCATCGGGTGGGATGAGCAAATGGCCGAACACAATATAGCCGCTTGGCGGCAGTGGCTAAATGGTCTTCCCCACTTGTCTTAAGTACGTATCCCTCGAAGTTACCACCCTGAATGCGCAAATCCAATAACTACGTTACAACTGCACCACTTCTGCGACGCCTCCCAGCAAGCATATGGGGCTGTATCCTACCTCAGGATCACAAGTGGAGACAGAGCCCACTCTACCTCCTTTGTGTGTCGCAGAGCCAAGCTAGCTCCTCTGAAACGGCATACCATACCTCGGCTCGAGCTATGTGCGGCAGTGTTAGCGGCCAAAGCAGACAAACAACTGAGAGAAGAACTAGAGTTGCAGATCGACAGATCAGTGTTCTGGACAGACAGCATGGTCACCCTTCAATACATATGAAACACTGAACGGCGTTTTCATACCTTTGTGGCAAACCAGATTGCAACGATACATGATAATTCCGACGCAGAACAATGGCGACACGTAAGCTCCAACCAAAACCCAGCTGATGATGCCAGCCGTGGACTGCATGGGGCAGAATTGAACAAGGACTGCAGATGGATTCAGGGACCCCCCTTTCTCCTGTTGGGAGAAAACAATTGGCCAAAGAACCCAAAGACGATTTCTAACCTTGCAGATGGAGACCCTGAGGTAAAAGGAGATGCAACAGTACTGGCAACGGGGCACTGACCTGGGAGAGAGTACCCTAAAAGGGCTATGGGCAAGGTACTCCTCATGGCACCTGCTACTGAAAGGTGTGGCGTGGCTCAGGAGCTTGATACAGTGGCACTTCAGCGATCCAAAAGAAGAACATCGACTGAAGATCAGTGAGTTGGATGAGGTAAGATTGGCTGTCTTGCAACTGATACAAAGGGAGGGATTTCCCCACGAGATGGACGCGCTGGAACGAGGACACTCCGTCAGGACTGGTGACGTAAGCAGACTGGAACCTTACCTGGGTGCAGACGGCCTGAGCAGAGTAGGCGGCCGACTGAAGCGTGCTGCTCTCCATCCAGACCAAAAGAACCCCATACTGTTACCCAGGGACGAAAAAATAAAACACAGAACTTATCGGACAGGAGGTACATTCGACCAGGGCTGGCCACTCAGGATGCGATCACACTCTAGCTGCACTACGCGAGACATATTGGATACCCAAGTGCTGTAAGATGATCGACCGAGTACTACATACGTGTGTATTTTGTCGAAGAAGCAATTAGAAGGCTATCCACCAACGCCAAGCTGACCTGCCAGAGGACCGAGTACATCCAGAAGGTTCGGCCATTCACCTGCACAGGAGTTGACTGGTTTGGTCCCTTTATGGTTAAACAAGGTCGGGCCCGGGGGAAAAGATGGGGATGCTTGTTTACATGTCTGGCCACAAGAACTATACACCTGGAAGTCCTCACCTCACTGGACACAGACTCATTCATCAACGCCTTGACGAGGTTCGCATCCTGCAGTGGACCTCCCAAGCTCATCAGTTCCGAAAATGGAACCAACATGATGGGAGTGAACAGAGACATATAACACCATCCATCATCACTACATATAACACCATCCATCATCACTACATATAACACCATCCATCATCACTACATATAACACCATTAAGGTCTCTCCCTCGGCAACTCCACGCCAGCACGTCTCTGGGACGAGATGCGGAGACTGAACTCCCGCCAAACAGACAGGCTTCCTGACACTATCCTGCGCCAGCTCCACACCCAGAAGCTCCCTACAGAAGTTCGTCTCGCCCTCTCGGCATTGGACTATTCTACAACCTCGGCAACCTATCCAGCCACGGCAGACAGAGTATTCCACGATTACACAGCTGTGCGCCATGCTGCCGTGAACAACTCAGCAGCCACACCATCACTTAGCTCCGGTCTCTTCAACCAGATCATCACTCCTTAGAGAAGTAGCATTCCACCAGACAAACAAGACATGAGGGACCTGCTACAACCTCTACACCGCAGGATGGACACCCTCGAGCAGCTCTACTCCTCCAAGCCTGCTGCTGATCCTGCCCCGGCCCCACGCACTGTGTCCTACCGACACCGACATCCCCGTCCTACCTCAGACGCCATCACCAGCCCCCTGCAACTACAGGAGGAGGAAACGACGTCAACGGGGATTGGTAAACGCCACAACGTCTGTCACTTCAGGCGTCTCACCGCTGCATGTCACCGACCACATCTACATCTACGGACTCAGCCAGCCACGTGTACGGGCCTCCCAGCGCCTCCTCACGCAGCCGAATGGGCTGCCCAGTGCCTGGCCTACCAGTCCTCCAAGGTACATCGACACACACGGACTCCCTTAAAAACCTTTCCTGTGCCCAAAGGACGCTTCTAGGTAGTGCAACTCGACTTCGTGGGACCTCTTCCATCATCCTGTGGGAACACCTACATTTTCACCTGCATTTACCATTACACCAGGTGGATGGAAGCCATTAACATGCCTGATGCTACAGCAGAGTCAGCCGTCAGCGCTTTCCTGTCTGATTGGGTCTCCCGTTTTAGTCCTCCCACGACTGTCATCATTGACCGAGGAGTCCAGTTCGAGTCACAACTCTTGCATAATTTATTTTTTATTTATTTTTTTTATTGGGCACCCCCCCCCTACATCCTTGTGTAAGGTGAAGCACAGATGCATTTATAGCACCCAACAGGGGAGCATGCTAAGTTCATGCTTGTCTTTATGTCTCATGAGTTAAGGGCGTACAAGCCTGAAGAGTCAATGGTATATGTCTAAGCAAGTTATTGGAAGCTCCAACAACTCTCCCTGAATACGAATTCGCAACTTTTAATTTACACCAGGTACCTACTTTACTGCTAGGTGAACAGGGACCAATTGGAGCTAGGAAATATGTCCAAACAACTTTTCCACCGGCCCGGGAATCGAAC